GAGAGGATTCACCAGAGACAGACTGGGGAGCAGGACAGGCAGACCAACGAAGTACACTGCTGCCCCTCTCCAAACTTTTAATTGCATCCTAATTCACTGGATGATGTCCTAGTCAAATTGAGTGTTTTGCTTGCTGAAAGATGGTGGTCTATTACAATAAATACATACTCAATTTGTTAGGACATTGCCAGGTGGTTTTAAGATCTATATACTCTTTTGAAAACAGTCCATCTGGAAAAAAAGAATTTAATAAAGTTTATTTGTTGCCTTACCAAAGAAAAACAAATTTGGTAATTTCTTAAAATGTTAAGCGTAGATTTACCATGCCATCCAGCAGTGTCACTCCTAGGTCTCTACCAAAGAGAAATAAAACCATATGTCCACACATACACTGAAGCTACAGGTAGGAATGGGAAATGACTATAGAATGACATGACATGTCATTTTGGTATTATGGAACTGTTCTAAAATCAGTAGTTGTACAACTCTAAAGTTTACTACCAATGAAACAGAACCAGAATACAAGTAATCTACTTGACAAGAAATGCAGGATCACATACACACTTAAAAGGAGTTTTATCCAACACACAACAGTCTCCGGTCTCCCCAAAAGTTTACCTTTTCCAACCTCTCCGGACTTGGCATTGGCAAACTCTGCCTCTTGGCCTCCTGCTCTAGAGTTAGGAGCATGTTCCTTTCTTTCAGTAGCACATACCTACATCAAAGAATAAAAAGCTTGCGATTTTGTGATTATATTAATAAAGTTGTGACTTTTGTCATCAAAGTTAATGATCTGTATTCAACAATCCTTCAGAAATTGTGACATATAGAACACCATTACAAAGACTCTTCCTTTAAAGAGAACTGTAGTTATGCTTATTGACTTGTTCAAAAAATTTTCAATATGTCACATATTCTACTGAGTGCCAGAAGATTTACAAAAAAACATAAAACTTAGCCTTAGCACATTCCAACTACAGAGAAGATGAAAGCTACATTTATAGAGTGCTTGTTATATGCCAGGCAATGTGTTAAGTTCTTCAAATACAGTATTTCATTTAATTCTCAAAAACCCTTTGAAGTTGGTACTACTTCCACTTTCTAAATGAAGGAACCAGGCTGCGAGAGAAATAAGGTATTTCAGGACATACAACTAATTCAGGTACAAACCAGACTCCCTGTGTATAAAAACCTATTCTACCTTTGCTGCCTCTGAAAGTAAATTGTGATGTGGGATAAAGAATAATAAACAGGGCCCTCCCCAGTGGCACAATGGGTTAGGATGCAGTAGTGCAAGCCAACCGCAGCTGCTTCAGTGTGAGTTCCATCCCTGGCCCCAGAAGTGACCCACAGACACAGCAGTCCTCTCCTCACTCACTTGCTGCTCCCCTCAGCAGTGTACTTTATTGATCTGCCTGTTTTGCTCCCCACTCTGACTATGGTGAAGCCTCTCACCGCCCCTGCACCTCTGGCTTGTACCCCAGTTATGTATGCATAAATAAACAAATCTTTAATAAAAAAAACAATAATAAATATCACAAGAATTAAGTGGGAGAGATGGGAGAGATGAGACATCTCTTCTAGCTAAGATAACCAAGGAAAGCTTCACAGACATGAGATTAGTAAAGAAGGAAGGCAACATAATCAAAATGTACTAAAATGGCAAAACTGATGTAGGGGTCAGTTTTGTGATAGACCGGTTTAAGAATCAGAGCTAGAAGAAAAAAAAAAGCAAATGTGGAAGGGACTAAAAATGAGACAAAGGAATTTGGGTACTTTACACTGTGAAAGACAATTTTGGGAGGAGTAAACAGCATTTGCTTTTTTTTTTTTTTAAAGATTTATTTATTTATTCATATAGAACTGGGGTACAGGCCAGAGATGCGGAGGGCGAGAGGATTCACCAGAGACAGAGTGGGGAGCAGAACAGGCAAGGTCTACTAATTACACTGCTGAGGGGAGCAGCGGGCGGGCGGGTCAGGAGAGGTCTGCCCCGCCATGTGGAGCTCCTCTGGGGGAGGCGGGGATCGAACTCATGAGGAAATGGCTTAAGCTTCTTAGTGCTGTGCTTTAACCTGCTGCGCCACCAGGGAGGGCCACAGCATTTGCTTTTACCCACAACGAATAATGCAACAGTCCTAAGCATCCCTTACAGATAAGGCACAGTCATAGTGCATTCATACAACTTGTTTTTCTATAATGAATCTCTATTTTACTCATAATATTTCTGGCTCCAAATAGGACACCTTTCCCCTCTGAGAGAAAATGCATGTCTTTTCTAATACCACTTCTCAAAGTCTCTCACACTCACTGAATCTGCAGCAGATTACACAGATTTAACAGTTCAGCCTCACAAGACTATCTCCTATGTCAGATGTCAACAGCAAGACCCAGGCCTTCCAGTATCTTACTGACCAGAAGTAAATTGATCAAAAAGCCCCGTTAAGCAGTTACATGGAGAACTACAGTGCCACTGTTGCCAGATGACAAGTTTGATTATTCAAGAACAACCAGAAATCCCTACTTTTGTGTAAACGTACCAAAATGCAAACATAGTAGAGTCCAAACAAAACATATAAGTTGGCTAATTATAGTCAATTAAAAATATAAGCTTGTCTTAAATCTTATCACCCTCTCTACCAGGAGAACCTAGCTGAAAAATCTACCTAGATTACCAACCAGATACACCCTCCAATATACTTTCCCAAAGCATTTAAGTTAAAGATCCCAGACATGCAAAGGTAATAGGAGAAAGGTCTAAATGTGACAGCTATTTATTCCACATTTCATTTTACCAGTTTGCTGACACTGTTGATATAAAGATACTAGTATGGTTAGTAATAGTTAAAATTTCTAAACCTGTAACAACTTAAGAATTCTAACATTTATCTAAACAAAATCTTATCTTTCTTAACTTATAAAAATCTATGATTTTAATTATCACATATATCATTCACAGCACTGTAAGACAAAACACTTCAATTTCTTACATCAGAGACATGTTTCATACTTATTGTTATACACTGTAACTGTTTCAAACACCTTGATGCTAATGTACTTAGAATACTTACCAAAGTTTATGTAAATCTTCATTGCTCTTGTTCCTCAATTGCTGACAGGTCCATGAAGCTCCTATTAAAATGGTAAGTTCATAAGATGAAATAATTTCCTAGTTATGTATCCTTTGGCAGGTTACTTAATCTCACTAAAACTGTTTATCTGTAAAATGAGTAATAGTTTTATTATAGCTATATAGTATATATGTAATTGTGACTAAATTGGAGTCATACTAGATAACATGAGAAAATACTGATGCTAGCAGTAATATTCAAAATATTACTACAAATTTTCACACTAATATAAAAATTATACAATTTTAATTTTTAATTATGTCTAAAAAATGAAATCTAAAACACACCCCAAACCTCACTTCACTTAATAATTTTAATCTGTGTCTCTTCTAAACTTCTTGTCAACCAAGGAACAACTAACACTAATGTTAGATTATCCTTTTAATTTTCTCTACTAGACATTCCCAAGGGAAATAAAAAAAAAAGGAAACACCTAAATAATTCTCAAACTGGCTAATTCCAAAAGGTTGCAAGATTCAATAAATTATTTTCAATATTGACGAACCCAATTTCTCACCAGATTTCACTTTTTCTTGCCCCCAGTTCTTTGGGTCATCAAAAAATTCTTCTAGTCCTTTCCTTGACAATGTGGTATGAAGTAATCTACACTGGTTAAAAGATGGAATATCAGTCGTGTTCTTAGGTAACAAACTAAGAGAAAACCTGCAACTGAAATACATAAACAAGTCAGAATTTTATAACATCTGAATTTTATAAGCAATAAGTAGAACCTTTCCTCATCTATAATACTAAAAATCCTACTCAGGGTTTCTGCACAGGAAAAATTATATTTTACAATATGTAAAGTGCCTTAGAAATTATTTTCACATTATATTGTAGATGTTACTACCCTATAATCTCAGAGCATAATATATTCTCATAATTTTGAAATATATTAAATAATTATATATATTATATTTTTAAGGTAACACTGCCGGAGGATATATGAGCAGATAAAAACAATCTGAAGGTTAATTTTGCAACATGTATCACAGGCTCAAAATACTTCCCCCTTAACCCAGTAATTCCTCCTCTGAAAACCTCAAAGAAATTATCACAGACAGGAATTTAAAAGTTAAAATGTATTAAAGCATTACATACAATATAAAAAAGTTGATAGGCCCTCCCTGGTGGTGCAGCGGGTTAAAGCACTGCACAAAGAAGCTTAAGCCACTTCCGCATGAGTTCGATTCCCGCCTGCCCGGAGGAGACCACATGGCGTGGCAGACCTCTCCTGACCCGCCCGTTGCTCCCCTCAGCAGTGTACTTCATCGATCTGCCTGTTCTGCACCCCACTCTGTCTCTGGTGAATCCTCTCACCCTCCGCATCTCTGGCCTGTACCCCAGTTCTGTATGAATAAATATAAATCTTAAAAAAAAAAAAAGTTGACAATGTAAATGTGCAACTAGTGTGCATCTGTATGATAAATTATTAGTTATTTAAAAGTCACATTTTCAAAGAGCATACCTAAAGATCTGAGGAATAATTTAAAGGAAAACCATGAGTTGTGTCAGTGAAGTGTATCATAAGTGCCATATGCCTAACAAAAAAACTTAACCTAAATCTAATCATGAAAAAACAATCAGACAAATCAAATTGAAGAAATAATCTAAAAAAGGTTGATCTTACCAAAAACTGCAATGTCATGAAAGAAACACTTTCTGAATTAAAGGACATGAAAGAGATGTGACATGCAATAAAATACCCTTGGTTAGATCCTGAATAAAAAGGAAAATAAAATTACCAAAACAATTAAGATTTGAAATTGGACTACACACTACATAATAGCAGTGCAGTCTTATTACTGATATTAAATATCCTAATTGGATCATTGTGTGTTTGCAGTTATAAGACAGTTTTCTTTTTCCTAGAACATGTATATTGAGTTGTCATGTTTGCAATTCTGACATGCCCCAAGTAGTGCAGGAAAAAAGCTTGGATATAAAAAGAAAATGTGACAATATGTTAACAAATGGTTAATCTCAATGAAGAGTACATATGTTTTTCCTACACATAAGGCTTTTTCTATTGGTTTGACATTTTTAAAAATAAAAAGCTGGGGAAACAACAGTAGAGCATAAAAATGCCTAAGTAAATGTTATGATGATTTTACTTTAAGATTACATGTATGTGTATAGATACATTTTTTTTTAAATGGAAGAAAATCTGTTTATCTTCAAGGGGTAGAATTATAACTTTTACTTTCTTATTCAAAATATTTTACCCTATTTTCCAGTGTCTGCAAATTGACAGGTTTCATTTTATAATAATAAAAATCTAAACCAAAATGTTTAAGGAAAAAGGACAAGTAAGCGGACGAGACAGTTAATCAATGCTCAATAATTGTGTTGAAATCAAGAGCAGAATTACCTTTATTAACTACACCTGGTAAATTATATCACCTTTAAAAATCTGACATATCCAACAATTTATAAAAATCAACTCCTTACGCACAACTGCCAATAAATAAGAGGAAACCATACACACTAAACAAAAAAGAAAAAAATTCCATAAGACCGGCTGTGCTTCCACAGAAATAACCAGTATCATTATTCATCACGTGTAGGATGTTCTTTTCTCACCCTTCAGGGCGACTTTTCGTTTATTTAATAACCTACATTCGTTTACTCACTTAACATTTACGGAATAATATCTAGTGGTAGAGTCTGGAAGTACAAAGGCTCCTGACAGAGTGCAGGTCCATGGCCAAAAGCTCTAAAGAGAAGTTCTCTCCACCCAGCGTAATAGGATGCTTCTGTACCTCTAAGCTTAATGTAGCAAATACTGGAAATCTATAGACTCCCTGCACTACAGGTTTACAGTAGGCGGCAAAGGGTGTTGTAAGAAGGAGTGGAAATGTCTGAGGTGGGCAAGTTCTCCAAGGTCAGGCACTCCTAACCGAGGTGGAATGCTGCTCGGCCATACCTGCCTTTCCATTCCGAGCTATTCTCAGCATCTAGGTAAACCCATAAAGCCCAGAACTGGAGAGATGGCCAATATTTACTCCTCACATTACTTGAAATCACTCACCCTGTGCCACCGGGGACCTGAAGGCTTACTAACGACCTAGAAATCTTCAGAGAAGTGGAGAGCTTGCTGCAAAGAATGGCCAAACTGGCGGCAGCCATTTTTTTCGCATAAGTAATCAAACCGCGTTTCCGCTAATAATGACATCACTTCCCGTGTCTCACACTGATTGCTAGAGAGACCTGGAACAGGATTTGCCCTCATTCAATATGGCCACCTCCCGCCTTCACCCTTATTGATAATTGGCTCACTCGGCTTCCGTTATTCGCCCCCCTTTTTCCTATTGCCCGTAGTAGTCATGGCGGCCATGAGTTTATTGCAGCGGGCTTCGGCCACTGCTCTGGCTGCATTGTCAGGCCGCCGACTCGGCCCTAAGCTTGGATTTGGGGGCTTCCTCACTCGTGGCTTTCCGAAGGCTGTCGGTGAGTTGCTGGCTTTGGCAGAAAGTGCGTGCAGGGGCAGCGGGCTAGGAGATGGAGGACTTTCCCGGGTGACCTTGGTGGGATCCGGGAGAGATTGAATGTTTGGGGCTTGAGAAGAGAGCAGAGCATGGGATCTGTGAGGAAATTGAGGGTTTTCTTAATTAGATCGAAAGCGTTTAAGTTATAATTAGTATTTGTGACGCACTTTGCCCTCAGCTACCTAATTTGGTACGAATATGCAAGTGAAGCTGGGGGTTAGAAAGACATAGAATTCTCAGCACTGGGTTATTTCTACGTTCCACCTGCACTGGGTTTCTAGCTGCGCAGGTAGAACCCTGAGAGGCAAAGCTCTCAGGCAGACGGGGAAACTCTGCGTTAAAACAGATAGGCACAGTAAGTTTTTAAAGGGCACAAGAGAAAAGTTTATTTAAAGTCAGGAAAAGAAAGGCTGTAGTGTTAATGAATAAGTGATAATAAATCCAGACTGGATTGTATTCGTCTTATATTGACACAGTTATGAAATGGGATTTTTGACATTTTCGTATAAAGGAAGAGCCCATAAGGAAAAGTGCCTAAACCCTAAAAACATCACCGTGCGGTTATGGGGAGGGATCTTGGTAGCTCTTGCAGGGGACAATGGGTTGAATTTTAAGGATGTGCTTTGTGTTGTCTTTCAAGAACTCTGCTGAGTGCAGTGTTATCCCCATTTTACAGATGAAGAAGTTGACTTAATTACCACAGAAACAATATACTACTGTGCTAAATTTCATGACAATAACATTTATTGAGCATTCGTGCCAAGCACCATTCTGAGTTTTTAAAGGTATTCCTTTTCTTGATCAAAGATATACTGTAAGCTGTCCAATGCAAATAGACAGGAAAATAGAAAGGAAGTGAAATTTACTCTGAAGCCAAAAAGATCACCTCCAACTTCAAAATATTTTTTTGTGCTATTCCATTGTCTCCCAATATAGTTTTATGTCAGTTCACATGATGAGGTGGTATGGACAGAGACTTTCTGTAAAAATAAGTGGTATTCAAATTTCCAGCAGGAATTTGTACTTGTAAGACTATATGGATTAACATTATTTTTTTAAAAAACCTCTTTTTAAATCTTTTGTTATTATAAATACCCTCTCATTCAAATACTTCTTTGGCTGGCATTTAATCATGGCTAGCTGGAGGTAAACAGGTAAAATTTCACCCGTAGTTCCTCTTTATACAATATTTCCCATTCTTAGACTGTAAGATCATTACAGGTAGTCTGCCCTTTGAAAAGCGGAGCAGGAAGGTAATAACTCACTGTATTTTGTTTGTGTACCTGATTTCAAAAGTATTTTGAATGTGAATCTTTGTCGCTGCAAGTGAAAGATTTTCTTCTGTGTGTTGTTGTACATGTAAGCTCTGATAGAGTAGAGAGCCTCATCTTATTTTGTTTCTTCTGGAGCCGGGCAAACTGTGATCAAATCCTGTCCCCAGAGTTCAGTAGTTTTGTGACCTTCCGATATCACATCTTGTAGGCTAAGTGGATGCATGTAATTATAGACTTTGCAGTTCTTTTTTTAAAATATGTATTCTGGTGCTTATATTCTTTACTTTTTTTGTTTGTTAACACTTTACATATCTATTAATAGTGATGATCATAATCTTTACTTGACTGGGAAATAAAACAAACCCTTTTCTATTGACAAGTATTTATAACTCTGAAATGTATTTCTACATAATTTTGCATATTTCTAGAATTGTCATCTTGAAGTGAACTTCTCTTACCATTAGAACTACAGAAAATTTTTTTTTATCTGTTTCATAAGCTTTTTGTGAAAGGTGGGAAAATCTATTAACACCTAGCATTAACCTTCCACAGGACCCTGGGGCCACATCTTTCTTACTATCATGCTGTCTTCATTCATTTTCACTGAAAAGACTTAGTAAAAGCAAGCATTTAAGTATTTAAGTGTATTTTCTCATATGGTAAAAAGTTGAGCTGAATATTAAAAGTAGATATATAAACAAAGAGGTGTGGAGTTAATTCATACACTGAAGGTGGAACATTTTAACTGGATTCCAGGGGTGATCTTAACAATTGCAATTGGCAGAAAAGTAAAGGATGAGTTTTCACATATGACTGAATTTGAGGATTTTGAAATTGATAGGTGATGGAGAGAGAAGGCTGCAAAAAGGGAATTGGGACCAAATTGAGGGAGGAGAACAACTGAATATAAAATCAGAGAGAATCTTAACCGTTTTACAGGCAGCGGAGAGAGTTTTAGCAGAAAAGAAACATTAGCAGTTTGTTTTAGTATCAGGTCGATTCTACGATATTTTGAATACTTTAGCTAGTGAGGTAAAGAGGGCATAAAAAGAAATGGAGAATTTAAATTTGGAAACACAAGAAGTGACAACTGATGAATGAAGAATAAGTGCAAGGAAGATGACTGAGGTGTATATTGTAATTGAGTTGGTGGTGCTATTAACTGGGAATAGTCTGAGGGAAAGAAAATCACCAATTTTTGATTGTCTTGGAAGCACAAAAAATCTGCTATCTTATTTGAAGCTTACAAATATCACAGTTGACAAAACTCAAATTATTTTATTTTACAAAATGGTCATTGAAACCTTAATTCCATATAATAAACAACAGCTGAGAAATGCCAGAGAGTGATCAAAAGTATCTTTTTGGTGGTAGAAGGGCCTAAGTTTCAGAAATCTTTGCAGTCCACCTGATGGTAAGCAGTTTACCCTGATATTTTCAGTGTAAACAGCTGTCTATAGTCCATCAATAGGAAATCACGGAAGTGCAGAATATTTTAAAAGACTTTGGTGCTATGAAATGTGCTTTAAAGTGATTTGTAGTAGTAACAGTTATTTAGCACATTCAATGACATCAATCACTGCTATTTAATCACATGGCAGTTATAGGTAAAAAAGCAACAGTACTAGCTGCATTAGTAGTATTAGAATACAGCCAGACCAAGCTTTCTGTCAGCCCTTTTTTTGTTTGTTAACACTTCACATATCTATTAATAGTGATGATCATAATCAGTGCTCCTGAGGCCACATAAAGTTTAATCCATATATCTTTATGGTTTTCTTTTTGCATCATGTGTAGATGGGTACATTGTGTATGTGTATGTCTGTCTGTCTGTCCATCTGACTTCTCTCTGATTGAAAGGAAAAGCCAGGAGTATATTGTCTAATGAGTAATTTACACTTGGGAACTAAGGAATATTTAATTTACTCAAGAAATGTAAATTCCATATTTATGGAGTAACTAACATATGACAGACACCAAAGGATACTGGAAATAAGCATTAATAAGACATTGTCTGACCTGGTGGACTTTTAACAAAATAATTGGGTTCATAATGCTCTTTGTTCTAAAGGGGATAATAGTCAAATGGTATTAAAGAGAATACATGGGAAGCAACTTTGGATAGGTTAGTCAGTGAAGATGACTTTGAGGAGGTAGATTTGTCAGTAGTCTTGAAGGATGTGGTACAGAGACAGCCATTCAAAGAGGCCGAGGAAAACTTTGAAACAAAGGGAAAAGTGCAGATACCTGAAGGCAGCCAACAATTCTGGGAACTGGAAGGAAACCACTGAAATTGATAGTTGGAAAGCTTTGGCCCTTTTACTCTAAAAGAGGCCATATATTCAGATTCTTTGAGGGAAAGGACTTTAGAAGACCCTCAGGCCTACTTCCTCCTTAGTATGTCAGTCTGTGTTGCACCCTGTTACTGATAATGAATAACTTGTAATGGGCAGGCAATAACTTGTTGGGAGGGCAGTCCAGTTTTATTTTTAATCATAGTATCGGGTAGAAATGTTTTTCTTGAATTAAGCTGAAAATTACTCCTTCACACATTGATCCAAGTTCTTCCCTTCAGCTCAGCACACAGTAGCATAAGCCCTTTGTCATGGGACAGTCCTTCAGTTATTTAAAGAAATATCTCTGGTCTCTGGCCAGATTCCTTTTTTTGTAGGCCAATCACTTGAGTGCTTACAGTTTCAATATGTCAGTTTTCAAGTTGGTTGCCATCCTGGGACCTGAGTTAGGACTTCTTCCAGATTGTCCTTCTGAAAGGGTATTCTGGGGCATACTTCTGTGTGGAGATGATAGGAGATGACGGTGAGGGCATCTCTGTTTTGACCCTGTACTTCTAGTACATCAGATTAATATTGATTTACCTTTGGCTTTTTAAGTAAACTTATCACACCAGTGACTTTTCTTAAGTTGGTTAAATTTTGGGGGGGTCCAAGCAGGACTTTCCATTTATTATGTTTAATCTTTTTTAGATTCAGACTTCTATAATGTGTATGAAGATTTGGGGGGGGTGGCATTTCATCATCAGTGTAGTAGTAGCTCTTATAGCAGTAGTTTTGTGTCTTTGTCAGGAATGACATCTCCACCTCATCCAGGTTTTCATAGAAATCTTGAACCCAGCTGGGTTTTCAAGAGAACCTTTTAGCAGGTTACTACAGTAATTAATCCACACCTTTTAGATGTAATCAGTTACCAGTTCCAATTCCCTCATTTTATAATGCACCTACCTACCACACACCCAGCCTTACTGCCTCTCTTATCTTGTCTGAATGGAACTTCTTGCGCCTTTCTTTATGACACTACACCTTGTTTTTTCTCTGGATTCACCAGAGACAGAGTGGGGAGCAGAACAGGCTGACTGACGAAGTACACTGCTGAGGGGAGCAGTGGGCAGGTCAGGAGAGGTCTGCTGTGCCATGTGGGTCACCTCTGGGGCTGGGATTGAACTCAAGCTGAAGTGGCATTAGCTTCGTAGTGCTGTGCTTTAACCCGCTGTGCCACCAGGGAGGGCCCCATAAACATCTTTTTATTAAGTGTCTTTTTCTTTCAGCAGCATCTAGATCTCTCTTGGACTGTATGCACAAGACCTGTACAGAATAGATACTTAAATATTTATTGAATTGATGAGAGATATGTATTATTATCTAGCCCAGTTTTTAAAATATTTATTGAATTGATGAGTGATATGTATTATTATCTAGCCCAGTTTTTTTTCATCTAGTCCTCAAAAAATTGCATTTTATCTTTCAAATGATTTCCTAAAATATATTTACCAAATTATTTACCATAATATTTATCAAATTATGTTGTTTTAGAGAGCTTGGTAATATAAATTTACTTAGTAAAGTCATGCCAACTTCTATTTCTTTTGTGAATTAACCTCTTAAATTCATTGCAAGCTGCTACAGGTGATACTGAAATGTAGAAGACAGTTCTTACCTTTAACACGTTTAGTTTACATGGGGGGCAGGGGGGACAGTGAAAGCGGGTACACACATTTCTGCAGTATATATCAGTTCATAGGTAGGAGAGATCTCATCTAGGTTGGGGAAAATGCTGGTTTCTTAGAACAGAAAAATGTCATCTGGACCTAAAGAATAGATTTCAGGAGAGGGGAGCATTCCAGAGAATTTAACTTGACAAAGAATACCAATCTTTCTGACATCTGTTATGACTGAAATTCCTTTCTTGGGAGACTACAGTTTTTATTCTGCAGTGACTTGCATGTGCAGTGGATTCCTTGAATACAGTTACTGGCAGACACACAGTGACTTTTGGTTTCTCAGAAACAGGTCCTTCTCAGTTTGGGGAAAGGGTTTAGAGCATTTGTAGTAATCCTTCCAGTCTTCCAAAAAGAAATAGTATGGTCTCAGTTTCTCTCTAAAAAGGTTTTCTTAAATACCATCTAGGGAATAATGTCAAGAGGAGGATATTAGCAATCAGAAATGACTTAGAAAGGGGTTTTACTAGAGTATGCCAGTGTGTTTACTTTTGTAATACTTTCAAATTCCAGCTGATAAGTGTTAAATAAATCTCTCTCCATCTATTTTGCATCAAGTTCCTAATGTTTATTGACACATCATATGAAATGGTGGGTGGGGTGTGAATGGGTCAAAAGGCACAAACTTCCAGTCATCAAGGCTTTGAGAAATGACATACTGCAAGGTGACAATAGTTCATAAATATTCTGTAGCATCTTTGAAAGTTAATAAGAGAGTAAATCTTAAAATTTCTGATTCTTTCCCCTCCTCCCCAGAAAAAAAAATTTGTTTATAACTGTATATGGTGGTGGTTGGTAGCTTATTTTGATGATCATTTTGCAGTGTATACCAATATAGAATCATTATATTGTACCCTTGAACTAATCCAATGTTACAGGACAAGTATACCTCAGTAAAAAAAAAAAAAAAAAGCCTATCAAATATATCTGCCCTCTCTGCCTTCTCCTGAAACAAATTCAAACAATTATCTAGATAATTTTTATTATTAAAAAAAATGGGGAATTGTAGTTGAGAACAGTACATCAGTCTCTGTTTAAAGATATCCTATCCTCTGGTAATAAAGGGAGCATGGACTTTTCTTAATTCATATTAAATATGTGTTTGCATTTCTATCTCACAATTTTTATCTCACAGTATTATAGTGACCTGTATAAAATAGGGTAATTTAATACTTTCAGCTCCTGTCCGACACAGTGGAGACCATGGGAAGAGACTGTTTATCATCAAACCTTCTGGATACTATGATAAGCGGTTTTTGCACTTAATGGTGAGCTAAACTTTTTTTTGCTTGCTTAGAAATCGTCTTTCATTTTACAAAAGATTTGTTTTGTAAATTCATACTTCTTTTTTCCTTTTTTTTTTTTTTTAAAGATTTATTTATTTGTGCATACAGAACTGGGGTACAGGCCAAAAATGCAGGGGCAGTGAGAGGATTCACCAGAGAGTGGGGAGCAGACTGACGAAGTACACTGCTGAGGGGAGCAGCAGGCTGGTCAGGAGAGGTCTGCCGTGCCACGTGGTCACCTCCCGGGCAGGTGGGGATCGAGCTCATGTGGAAGTGGCTTTAGCTTCTTAGTGCTGTGCTTTAACCTGCTGCGCCACCAGGGAGGGCCATTCCTTTTTTTTTTTTTTTTTTTTACAAAAGTTTATTTTTACATCATTTTGTACTTTTTTTTCCATCTCATTTTTTTTTTTTTAAGATTTATTTATTTATGCGTAAGGAACTAGGGTACAGGCCAGAAGTAGTACAAGAGTAGTGAAAGGGTTCACCAGATACTTAGATATTCACCAGTGGGGAGCAGAACAGGCAGGTCTACTGAAATACAGTGTTGATAGGAGGATGGGGTGGGGGGAGACAGGAGAAGTCTGCCACACCATGTGGGCCACCCCCCTGGCAGGGGATCAAACTTGTGCTAAAATGGCTGCATCTAGTTTCGCAGTGCTGTGCTTCAACCAGTTGCCCCACCCGGGTACTTCATTTTTCAAGAGATAGACTGAGATTGTATAATCAGCATCATCAGATAAGTAGTGGTCTGGGGCCTGTGAATCTGGTCCCACCCTCCAACAGTCTAGGCAGATAAGCTGGGAGTGAATGAACCTGTCCATTGCTCCAACCACTAGAATTCAGAGGGGCAGGCTGAGGGGCCCTGCTCTGAAGCCCCAGGAAAGGGCTCTTTGAGAATTCTGTCATTGAGCCACAAATGCACTAAAAGGGCCTTTTGAGATCCTGTGGTCACGATTGAAAAGAGGACTCTCCAGACACTGGTGAGGGCAAGCAAGGAGTCAGCATTTACTGATTAGCAAAGAGAACAGGAAAGAGAACTCTAGAGAGTCTTCTCTTGGCATAAAAAAGATGCCCTCAGGTGCTGGGGCTAAGGTTCTGTGTAGATTTTGGGACTGGGGTTTGAGAACAAAGGATTTAAACTTTATTGGCCAGAAAGCAAGGAGAACTGACTTGACTAACATCCATTTCTTGTTGCTAATTGTGGACACCAGCTGCAGCCCAGTGCACTCAGTGCTCCTGACCGCCTCCATGGGAACATTTCATGGTGGCTATGTATTTGCAGCTCCAGCTTGAACTGGTCTGGTCTCAAGGTCTATGACTCTTATCTTCTAGGTTTGTAACTCCCCTTTTTTTCACAGTAGTCATGTTGATAAACTGTGGAAAGATAGCTTAGGGGAATGCCCAGACTAGGGGGAAATTAGTAATAAAAAAAACAGCAGGTCAAGGAAATTTGGCAGCAGGTGCCTGAGCCTAGAATCATCAGGCCTCTTGTTTACCAGTCCATGGGAACAACAAACTTTTGTCCTTGAGTCCTGGCCTGTCCTTGGCCCAACAACCTTTCTGTCTTTGTAAGGTCTGACTTGTTACTGAAAATTGTTCTAACTTAGTAAACCTTTCGTCCTCAAAAAAAGAATTCATGCTAATTGAGAGTAAAAATTAAGCCATTCTTTCTTCTCAAGATTATAGGGTTTTGAAATATAATCTGTGTTTCCTGTTTGAAGATTAAAAAAAGATCGGCAAACTACAAGACTTTGAAAGCTGATTCATTGGGAATAATAATTTGTATTACTAATATACTCTTTAAATTACCAAAGAACTTATGAAATAGCTTTTCTAAATAAGAAGTTTCATTATTTGAGAACATGTTATTTTTGTGTTTTTTTTTTTTTCAGGAATATTGTTTTCAGAGGGTAAAACTAGTATGTTGTGTGTATTTATGTTGGAAAATGGAAGATTGCTTGGTCTCTGCCACTGATCCTCAAGCCCACCATTTGAGCCTTGACTGTCCTCTAGACTTTCTCTTACTCTCAACTGTATTGCTTGTTCCTCACCATCCCCTCAGTTGAGAGTCTAATTTTCTTGGCCCTGAGCAAGTAGTTGAAACCATCTTACTGTTTTACACTTCTTCGTACAAAATTTTCAGACTTCATTATATTGCTTTCACCAAAAACGGGGGTGGGGGGGGGAGAGGATCTCTTAATTTATATTGTATATATTATACATATATATACTTGTATAATTAATCCTTACTTTTTTCTTTAATTTTTGGCATTAAATGTAGACATCTAAAGGTTAGAGCACAAGACAATCACAAAATTAAATAACTCTGCATTTCCAATTTGGCAAATTTATTTTCTAAGAAATACAAGAAAAATCACATAATTATGACAGTTTGAGGGTGGGAAAAGAGTCAGGAAATAGGAATATTGTGTAATAATCATAATGTTGATATATAATAACTAGTGATTATATTCCAGGTATATTTCTAAGTACTCAACATACTTATTATTCATAACAACTCCATTGTGGTTTCTAAATAATGTCCCCCAACAGTGTTAACATCCTGATCCCAGAAATCTGTAAATCTTATATTTCAAGGCTGAAAGAAATATTGAAGATGTGATTAAGGATTTTGAGCTAGGGTGATTAGCTTTGATTATCTAGGTAGAACCAAGGTAACCATGCAAGTCATTATAAGAGTGGGGCAGGAGGACAAAGAAAAGAGACAATTGTGTGTGGCTAACTTTGAAGATAGAGGAAGGGGCTTTGAGCCAGGAAATGTAGCCAGTCTCTAGAATCTGGAAAAGGAGAGGAAACAGACTGTCCCTGTAGGCATCTAAAAGGAATTTAGTACTGTGGACTAATTTTAGACTTCTGACCTTCAGAACTATAAGATAATAAGTGTATGTTGGTTTGAGCCACTAGATTCATGGTAAGCTGTTATAGCAGCCATAGAAAAGTAATAGATCTGTCATATTAGATATTACCGTTGTCCCCATTCACAAAGGAAAACTTTTTCTTTTTAATCTGAACAGAAATTCTACATTTTGTTGACTGGGATTCCAGTAGCAATTGGCATAACTCTGGTGAACGTATTCATTGGTAAGTCCCCTCACCCCATCCCACCCTAACCAAATTTGTAAATTTTAAAAACCTATGTACATTAATTTTAAAAAATGGATATTATAATGAAGAGCTCTTTAAATAATAAAATAAACACAAG